GAGAAGCTTAGGGTGGGAGGGGTAGGTACTTGTGGAGGTGGAGGGTAAATACAGTGTTTTAGATCTATGTATATATTTTTTGCAAAACACATTTCTATAACTGTCAGTTTGTGGTCATTTGTGATGGAAGAACACCTCAGTCAAAAAGTTTATGAACAGCTCAGGCTGTAGAGATTCACTGAAAGCTGTGGGAGAGTCACCAAGTACAAGCTAGTACGTCGAACTTATGCAAATAGCATGAAGCACTGCTCTGGTCACTTACCTAAGGAAAAATTTACACTATATGGCCAAACGTTTGTGAACATCTGACCATCACACCTATATGAGCTTGTTGGACATCCCAATCCAAATTCATGGTCATTATTAGGGTGATAGCCTCCTCTTGGTTACATAGTTACATAGTATTTGAAGTTGAATAAAGACATTAGTCCATCAAGTCCAACCTATTAGGATCTCATTCTAGGAGTACCTGTACCCCTGTATATTACCGTCCCTTAAGAAATCGTCCAAAAGTTTCTTGAACAATTCCACATTATTTGCTGAAATCACCGCCTGTGGCAGTGAGTTCCAGACCCTAACTGATCTTACTGTGAAGAACCCCCTTCGCCCCTTGTGCTGGAATTTTTTTTCCACCAATTTTAGGTGGTGGCCTCTAGTTTTTGTAATGGAGTTAATTTTAAACAGTTTATCGCTAATGTTGCTGCCACCATTGAACATTTTGTACATGGAGATCATATCCCCCCTTAATCTCCTCACCTCCAATGTGAACATGTTTAAATTTAGTAGCCTTGTCTCGTAGCTCTGGTCCTCCATACCCCTAATTAGTTTGGTTGCCCTCCGCTGGACTTTTTCCAACTCAAGGACATCTTTTCTTAGTACTGGTGACCAGAACTGGACCGCGTGCTCCAGATGAGGTCGAACCAATGATCTATAAAGTGGCAAATTATCTATAAAATGGCAAAATGGTTAGAACTAGGGATGCACCGATACTGACACTAGTATCGGTATTGGTGCCGATACCGAGGATTTGGGCGAGTACTCGTTTTCAATCTGTGCCCAAGGGTTGTATCCTGGGAAGGTTACATCGGTAATGCATTACTGGGAAATCTCATCTGTAATCTCACGAGATCTCAGGGAAAGGCATTTTTCCTCCCCTGAGATAATGTGCATGGTCGCATGTCCTAGTCACACGTGCCAGAGTTCCAGGAAGTAAAAGGGAGATGGATTTATCTGCCCTTAGTAAAAATGGCCGCTGTGAGAAGAATGGGGATGAAAAGAAAAATTAAGGTATGCAAGGAATACAAAGCTGGCAATCATCTAGAAGTATCTGTTTGTAGATTGTCATTACAAAACACTTTTAGAGGTGTCTTTGTTGTTATTTTGAAGATCAGGGTAAAGTTCCTCTTTGAATGTGTGAACTGGTGACAGAGAAAAATCATGTAAAAAACATAACGTTACATTAGCAGCAGAAATCACACACTTGCTGAAGTACACAATGGAATCCTTTTAATGATGTATATATTTTTAAATAAAGATTGAACATCCGCCCCATATATCCTGTTTCGCTCCCTGGAGATTAATACCGGGGCAGGCTACCAGTAGCCCTCCACTGTGACCCGGAGGGTCACTTGTCCCCATAATCCTGTCAAACTGGGGTCACCCAGAATGGCTCTGATTGAGGACAAAATACACACCCGCTTGTCCTGCTGTCCGGGAGGGCAGTCTCATTGTAAACGGCTCGGGAAAGGGAAGTCTGGCATTGTGTAAAGGAAGGTTCCAATTCCCTACGCTGGTGTGTGGAAGCCGGAAGGAAAAAGTGATTTGGCAGCCAATATCACGTATCATTATGGAGTATATAAACATCTTAATGAATACAACGCACAATATATGAATGAGCTGGATTGTAAATACAAGGAGAGGCCTTCTTCTCATGTATTCACAGAACCCTCGAACAATCATCAGATATGGCTGAACATAAAAGAAACCCAGTCGTAGTTTTGCATTGAGCTGGAACAATGGTCTTGTCACCCCTGGTAAAGCAGCAACAGCAACAATATATTTCAGAAAAGTTCCATCTTTTATCATTTAGCCCTCATTCACACGAGACGTACAGCTCCGTGCTGCGTGCACAGCCGTATCGGGCAGCTCCCGAGAAGGACAGGTGTTGCGTGTGATTAGTACGCAGCCCCTGTCCTTCCCTTTGGGAGTACACGTCCGTACGCTGCCCTGCGCTCGCCCGCCCTGCACGTCCGTGCGGGTGAGCGTACTCGTACGCTGACAGGGACACCCGCACCCATACGGACCTGCACTTGAAGTGAGCATAGGGCGGCGTGCGGCCAAGTACTCCCATAGAGAAGGACAGGGGCTGTGTACTAATCACACGCATCACCTGTCCTTCCCGGGAGCTGCCCGATACGGCCGTGCACGCAGCAGTGCACTGTACGTGCCGGCTTTTTCTCGTGTGAATGGGCCCTAAAAAGCCGTCCATGAGCTCCAGGTCAATGACTTTCCCTAGGCTGAGATGATGTCTTCAGTCTGCTGCAGGCAGGAGGAAGCATTTCCTCAATCTCCCCTCCCTCAGTGATCAGAGTGCAACATTTTAACTTTGTAGCAAGTCAAGGTAAGAGGCTACAGCAGTGCCCAATCTGTGTCAGACATTTGTGAACACAGCCAAGAACTGCACTGGAACCTGGGATTTACATAACTGTGTCATCTCTGAGCCGGCATCTCAGTCCAGGAAGTGACCCTGGATGATGCCTGAACAAAGATGGTGCCGTCCATCTGTAGATAAAAGCATTGTTTTATATATAAACCTGTGTATTTATACATGTTGATGATTCCCCATGTGCGGTCCCATAGTACAAATGGTTATCTCGGCTTTGTTATTTACTTTGCTTGTAATTTTGAATCTCTAATAAATTACTGAAACAAAAAAAAAACAAAAAAATAAGCACATTATCAGGCGAGTGCTTCTCAGGAAAAATTAACAGGTTCACCACATCCTAATCAGCTCGTATACATGCAAACATTTTGTTTTAACCCTTCCTGTGTTGCTGTGGGCCCAGGTTCCGCTTCTGTGACGTGGCACTCTCTGCCGAGCACTCTCGTTCAGTGTGCTTTGAGCAAGAAATAGAGGAAGCTGCAGCATTGGATGGTCCTGACGTGTCATGTGACCAGTATTGCGGTACAGAGTGCAGGATAAAGTCCCATTCATCGCTCTGACTCATAGCAAATTTCCCCAATATTAGAACACTGCCAAAGATATCACCACCGGCCTTGATGACGTGTAGAAGTGGGTAGTCAGGGCTTCAAAACAGGGCAGTGTTTGCTGCTGGAACTAGAGTTATGCGTCACCCAAAATGATATTTCAGTGTTCCAGTGATGTGGTTAGACCAACTTTCTGTATCTCTCGTGAAAATGTGTGCAATTGAGTAGATTTGGTGGTGGAAGCTCATCATCTCTGCACCTGAGTTCCTTTGGTGGAGGGATCTCGTCACCTGAGTTGACTGATGATGGGATCTCTGCACCTGAATTCCATTCATGGTAGGATCTCTGCACACGAGTTCCTTTGGTGGAGGGATCTCGTCACCTGAGTTGATTGATGATGGGATCTTTGCACACAAGTTCCTTTGGTGGTGGGATCTCTGCACACAAGTTTGTTTGGTGGTGGGATCTCTGCACACAAGTTCCTTTGGTGGTCAGATCTATGCACAAAAGTTACTTTGGTGGTTGGATCTCGTCACATGAGTTGATTGGTGATGGGATCTCTGCACCTGAGTTCCTTTGGTGGAGGGATCTCATCACATGAGTTGACTGATGATGGGATCTCTGCACCTGAGTTCCTTTCATGGTAGGATCTCTGCACACAAGTTCCTTCTGTGGAGGGATCTCTGCACCTGAGTTCCTTTGGTGATGGGATCTCTGTACTTAATTTTCTTTTGATGGTGAGATCTCTGCACACTAGTTCCTTTGGTGGTCAAATCTCTGCACCTGAGTTGACTGATGATGGGATTTGCTCTGGTGGTGGGATTTCTGCATCTGAGTTCCTTTGGTGGTGGAATCTCACAACTTGAGTCCCTTTGGAGGAGCAATCTCTGAACTTGAGTCCCTTGGTAGTGGGATCTCTGCACATTAGTTCCTTTGGTGGTAAGAGCTCTGTACTGAAGTTCTCTTGGTGATGGGATCTCTGTACTTAAGTTCCTTTGGTGGTGGGACCTCACAACTTGAGTCCCTTTGGAGGAGCAATCTCGGTACTTGAGTTCCTTGGTGGTGGGTTCTCACAACTTGAGTCTCTTTGGAGTTCCTTGGTGGTGGGATCTCACAACTTGAGTCCCTTTGGAGGAGCAATCTCGGTACTTGAGTTCCTTGGTGGTGGGTTCTCACAACTTGAGTCTCTTTGGAGTTCCTTGGTGGTGGGATCTCTGCACCTGAGTTCCTTTGGTGGTGGTTTCTCTGTACTTAGGTTCTGCACTTGAGTTCCAAGGTCTACTTCTCCAGTGGCCATTATGTAGGTCTCCCACTCTACCTGTTGTATTGGTTTGCCCTCTTGTCTACCGGGAACATTAGCCACATTGTTATATTTTTTCTGCATGCTTGTTTGGGTTTACAACAAACGTTCACATTTCTTCACATTCCAAAATAATATACTGGCAGGTTACATGGCTTCCACCTGAACTGTCCTAATGTGTTTATGTAAGCAGTAGAGAAAAAAGGCTGCAACTGACGTGACCGCATATCAGTATAGCCCCCCCTATTGCCAGAGAAGCTCGGGGCAAATCCTGATATTCCCCAGATATCACAAAACCACAGAAATATTTAAGCAGCCCCCTACCAGTTTTGGGTCCATACATTTTGAATTGTGCCAACAAAATTGAGACAGACTGAAGTGGGGTGGTGGGGGAGAGTATGACATCATCACCCTGAAGGTGTGATGTCATCAAAGCAGCCAGTTTTACAGTGTGTAATGGGATGCCTCTTTGTTTTTCAGGACATGTCTTAAAATGCAGAACACAACCTGTACCGAGGACAGAATTCAGCACGCTCTGGAGAGATGTCTGCATGGACTCAGCGTATCGCCTGGCTCCTCCTCTTCCTGGACAGGTGACCTTTCCAACATTCTATTCTAAAGCCGAAAATAAACTTTACCCTTGCAGTGAGCCCCCCTCCCCACTTAAGGGTACTCACTCAGCGCTGCAATATCCAGACTCTCCCCCCTTGCCGGTGCTTTCATCTTCGTCATGGTATTCTTCCAAGTTCTGGATCTTCTTGATTTGCCGGGCCTGGATGACATAACTCCCGTGCACGGGTGTAACATGAAACATTGTCCAAAAGGTGGAGTGTCCTTTCAAACACACATTACCCACCTCCCGTCCATTGGCCGTACCCAAACGGCCGGACGGGAGCCTTGTAGGAGCGGGTGGGCGTCTTAAAGCGTCCCTCCGCGCCCCCACTCGTGCACGGCACCCAGCACGCACATGAGTGGGGAAAATGTCAAAATTGTAAAAAGCCAGCGATGGTTGTTTACATTCAAGCATTCCAGCGTCTGTAGAGACCCTGATCGATTGTATCAGGTGCGGGTGTGCAACCACCGCCGCTGGTCCCAAGATCCGCTGTGCCCGGTGTGACTGGGACTGGCACGGCGGCTCTGTCACCGGAGGTCAGTGGGAGATCAGTACACAAGCTCCTTCTGATCTCCTCTCCGGTCCCCGAATGCAGGAAGTGATGTTTATTACGCCACTTCCGCATTCAGCTGTCATTCCCGGCTACAGAAGCTAGAGAGAAGCTGGTGAAACAGCTTCTCTGGGGGTCCCTAGGTGACATTAGGGGTCTTGGAGACCCCTGATGTCTCCATAAAGAGGACCTGTCATGTAAATTGGCTATCACATATGGAGCTTCTTATCCCCCTATGTGATAGCAATAAAATTAAGTGTAAAAAGTTTTTAAAAAATTAAAGAAGCATAAAAAAGTCATATGAAAAAAAACCCACAAAAATGTTTGTAAAGTCCCCCGCCCGCCCCACATACACACGCAAACATGCGTCGGGTGCACCTACATGCGAAAACGACTTTTGTGCCGCACATGTTACATATCGCCACGAACGTCGGAGTGCGAGCAATAATTCTTGGGCCATTAATCACTGATAACACTAAACTGATGAGCAGTAAAAGCTTTTAAAGCGTCGCCTATGGCCAATTTCGGGTATCGTAGTTTTTTTGCGGTTTCACAGGCGTGCGCAATTTTAAGGCTTGACATGTTTGGTGTCTATTTACCCGATGCGACCCCGTCTTTTATATTTTACCAAAAAATTGGGGTGATAATAAATGTTTCATTACATTTCATAGGGAAACAAGTTTTTTTTTCTTCAAAATTTACAGTACCTTTTATGTTATATAGTAAAAAAAAAAAACCCGCAGTGGTGATTAAATACCAGCAAAAGAAAGCTCTATCTGTCCCCAAAAAATAGTATCAAATTCATTTCAGTACAGCGTTGCGTGACGGAATAAATGTCAGTCAAAGTACTGCAGCGCTGAATACTGATAAATGTTTCCTCAAAATGTTCCCCATAGTTCTCCTAAGGGTAACGTGAGGACACAAACTAGCGTTCTCCCGTCACCCTAAGCTCAGTATATAGGGAGCTACAGCTCGCTGCATACCGAGACCGGCGCAGCCGGGACGGATCCCGACATTACTGTCGAGATCCACCTAGCTGCTTGATTGACAGCTGGCTCTGCCTATCTAGAGGCAGAGCCAGCTGTACCCGCCCCCTCCCCCATCCGTTCCACCAGTCAGCGCTGGGGGATCGGAGCGGAGAGGGGGGGATTCCCTGCGGGGAGCTGTGAGTGACAGTCACGGCTCTCTGCAGGGAGATGATGGAGAAGTGAGCGAGTGACGGTATGTGATCGCTCACTTCCCGATCTATTGAGCCGACGTGTGACAGTTTCATTGTCACAAGTCATCTAGAACTATGAGGATGAGTGATTTTCACTCACCTCATAGTTCTCCTTTAACCATCACGCCAGTAACAGCATCCCTTAGTGGCAGAACCTGTCATCACGGCATAGTATATGAGAATGGTTGTTGCACCCGTGTCTGTATAAACAGCGTGCTCACACAAAGAAAGAGATCTCTAGAGAGCAAGTTCTGGATTCCGGGACATTTCCAGGGACAGCAGACAACTATACTGAGTATTTCTTCCTCCTGAAGCACATTATTAAGGATGCGGACAGCGGGCGGCTTTGGCCCTCTCCTGTGTGGCAGCCACAAGAGATGTGTCACTGGGCTCACGTAGTGGACGGCCCTTGGCCAGGATAAGGCAAGAAGAGAGAATACAGAACTTCGTGCATCAGTGAATTTAATTATAGCAGGAAGGAAGTGAAATTCAAATCATGTTTTTCTGTCTTTTTTTTTGTGTGCCTGCTGTTGGAAATATTTCTTTAG